AGAGCTGTTTGGAGAACTGTGGTAATGTATATAAAGCACTTAATCAAATATTTTCTATTGAATGTTTTTCTCATCTGTAAAATAAATAAGAATAATGTAGTAAAGGGAAAATGTTCAGGTCCTCTGGTCAACCCTGAAATATACACTAAGAGTGCATGGTGAAATTCATGTGTTAATAGATGGTATTGCAATCCAGACCCAAGAAATTCTCACTCACCCCTTTCCCTCTCAGAGTTCTGACAGAGCAAGCAATACAGAAAGGAAAATAACTAGATAGGGAAAAAATATCCCCTTACAGGTGTGCGGACACCAGACAAGAAGGGTCTTTCTGGCCAAGACTGAACCAAAAAATGTGGGTTTAGTTTTCAAGGTGTAAATAAAGACTACTGCTTTCTACCCCTTGAATCCAGATAGCCCTTGGCTGAGGTCCCTTCTCAGAAATGTGAAGCAGAGAGAGTAAGATGAGGTCAGCTTAGCCGAAGGTCATAGAGTAAGCCTGGGACAGAAGGGTAAATGAGTGTTTTTCTTTGGAGCTGATCTTTGAGCCAAGCTCCCTGACCTAAATTATGCCACATTATAAAATGGGGTCCCATGAATGTCCTGGCCTCTGACCGAAGAAATAAACAAGTCTTCTCTCTCGGAGACAGGGAGTGAGCTGGAAGATCATCCCTTCTAGAGAGCCCTCTCAAATGTGGGCTCTTTTGAACTAGGGCTGCTAGACTTAGCAAACTGGAATATAGGACAACCAGCTAAATTTGAATTTCAGATAAGCGAGGAGTTGTTTCTGTAGTATAAGTGTGTCACATGCCATATTTGGGACATGCTTGTACTAAAGCATTATTTGTTGTTTATCTGAAATTTGAAGGGAAGTGGGCATCCTCCGGGTTAGCTGGCAATTCTATTTTCCGGCATGTTTTACAGTCAGTTTGGTGATAGTTCACTGAGACGGATAGGAAGGGTCTCAGAGCTCTTTCTTTGTTGCAGGAGGTATCCTGTGTGTTGTGGAATGTTTACTAGCATTTCTAGCTTCTACCCATGAGACGCTAGTAGAATTGCCCCCGTTTCCATTGTGACAACTGAGTATGTCTCCAGATATTGCCAAATGTCTCGGGGGAGGGGGCAAAACCAGCCCTAATGGAGAACCACTGCTTTAGAGATAGTGGACGCAAGCAGGTCTGTGAAGCATGTCAAGATGCCATCAGAACGTGGCACTTAACACAGGTCTGAACTGTGTGGGTCCACTCCTATGTGGATTTTTTTCCCCCAACAAATACAGTGCCGTACTGTAAAAATGCAGCTCTGTACTGTAAATGTATTTTTCTTTTCCTTATGATTATCTTAGTAACATTTTCTGTTCTCTAGCTTACTTTAAGAATACAGCATGTCATCCATATACAAAATACGTATTAATCAACTGTTGATATTATTGGTAAGGCTTCTTGTAAGCTATTAGTAATTAAGATTTGGGGGAAATCAAAAGTTATATGAGGAATTTTGACTGGGCAGGGGCTCAGGGCCCCTAACCCTTACATCGTTCAAGAGTCAACTGTAGATCCAAAAAATGATGCAGGCCCTTCCTCTGTCTTCATTCCTCTGCCCCTCCCCCTACCCCATAGTTTGGGCTCCTTCCCAGTAATGTTAGGGTCTATGTAGACCTAGACAGAGGATCCCAACAACACAATTTTAGTCCCATGTTGATTATAAACACTAGATCCTCATGCTGATTGACTTTGCCTGTCTACACAGACAGGCAAATCTCAAGGTTTGGGCTCAGATCTCTTCTTTAGAAAACACCTAGCAAACTATTAAACCAAGTACTTAAATTTTGTCTCAGGTCATCAGTTTGTGTGGCTGGGTGAACTTGCCATTTCATGGGCAAAACTCTTAGTCAAACTACCTTACTTTTAAGTGTACATATTCTCTCTTAGTTTCATTTTGTAGAGGGAGGGAGGATTTGGAGGCATTGGATAATGAATTCTGTCCTTCAGACATTTCCACCTACACATTTATTTTTGAAAAACTTGCTGCTATGCCTTCATGTGATGTTTCCTGTTTGTAACTTTCCCCTGCCCTTTCTTACTTCCTTGGAAAAAAAATGAAGTGACTTTTGCTTTATTAATTTTGTCCAGCATCGATAATTAATTTTGTAGGCCTATCAGTTTAGCTAATGAGAAGATTTCATTAGCAAGTTAAATGTAACTTTGTTCCTTCCTTGCTTCCCATATTTTGTTGGCTTTTAGAGAAGCAATGGTTTTATAAAAATCCACTGAGCAAAGCAAAGACAATGTAACTATGTTGTTATAGTGCTGAGGGAAGAGAAATCTCTGTTCTCCATTCCCTATACATGTGGTATGTTTTCAAATTTTTTTTTTATCTAATGTGCTTCCTTAAATAGGAATACTCTGTTCCCAAAAAAGCCCATCCTAAAGAATAATATTGTCTTTACTTGTAATCACAGGCCTTCATCATTACAGAAAAAAAATCCTAGCCTTTTCAGATTCTGATACCTGTATTTAATCAATAACCACATTCCTTTTTCATCTGTCTTACCTCTGCAAGTGCATTTTCCCAGCTGTGTATGTTTTATTGTAAGAATTCAATTGAAGGAGCCATTCATGTTTGCAAAAAGGATGATGTTTTATTATTGGTTATAAAGAAAAGAAATTTCATACTTTGAATAACCGACCGTTTCTGTTATAGCACGGTGAATTTTGAAAGTGAGGAACAAGTTAACTAACCGTGGAGAGACCACAGAAAAATCTTGTAGTACTCTGACCACATTATAAAATCAGACCTGGCAGTTTTTAGGTCTCTAATTGACAAGCATTTGATTCACATTTGAAATGCATCCTCTTTGCACCATTTAAGGGCTCATAGACTGAAAGGAATAAGTGGTGATGGTCAAAATATTTTACACGAATATGACATGGCCTAATCAGTGACACCAGGTACCATCGTACTGGGACAGGAGCCCAGATACCCTGGTGCTCCACATGTTGTTTTAGGGGCTGGACCATGGTACAGTAGGATGGGTGCTTGGAGTGGGGCCAGGATGCCTGGGGGCTTAGAGGAAACACTAAGGAGGTACAAGGTAACAACTGTTTATGAGCCAGTCTGGTAGTATTTTAATATTTGAGTCATTGGAGCAGCTGTACCACTGTGTACCAGCTGGACTCAGAAGTACAGAACTAAGCGGTGAAGTGCAGTTAGAAAATCAGACCACCAGCTAGAGTTCTTAACAGTTCCATTAACTCACTGTGTGGTCTTGGATAAGTTGGTTCTTGGGGCCTCCATTTTCTCTTATGGAGAATGAAACTATTGGATCGGAACTGTCCTAGGTTCCCTTCCTGTTCTAAGAATCAATTTCTACCCCCCCACCCCCTCCACAAATGAGCTGCAGGTTCTATGCATAGAGTGTAGAGTTGTCCTTGAACTTCTGGAAAGCATAGAGACCGAAGGGGTTCCTAGGCAGTGTAGGGCACTGTCATGCTCTGTGGTTTGTGGATAAGGCGATAGTTCAAGAGAAACACAGCCGCATTAACCACACATGCACTGTGTCGTCAGGACAAGACAGGAACAGTTAAATACCTTTCTACAGGCAGCTTAAAAACATTTTTTAAAGATTAATAGTTTTCAGTGTTTGGAGGAATTTTTTTGGAGAATAGAAAAATGTGCTAGTTTACTATAGAAACTAAACGAATGTTGCTTTTGCCTGAAATTACCTAAGTCGGGCAAAAACAGTTATTTTGGAATTTTTTGGGTTTTTTTTGACTAGATTGCAGAAAGTTCCCTCTACTCTTTACTTCACTTTTGTTTTCTTTGTTTGAATATATATAAGTATATACATATATATGTACATTCAGTGAATATATTGAGACATCTCCATGGGAATATATAAGCACAGATTAATGAGCAATGCCATGCCTACTGAAAGAAAAGAAGATGCTAAAATAACTCCAACCTAGATGTGTTTCCCCCAAAATGGTTTGTTTTAATTTGTTTGAGTTGAAAATCACTTTCCAAGTTGATACCACATCTTTAAATTTTTTTTGTAAGTATGAGGAGGTGCTCAGCATAATTATGAATTACTGTAATTATCAGAAAAGAAAAAATATGATTTCTGAAGCACATGCTTTATTAGGAAACTAGATGCTGAGTAAGTAGCTAAACATGTATTTCTTTCAGGTTCCTATATAAGTGACAGTTTAGTGAAATGACATGATTCTGTTTTAATATCCTGTTGCTTATTGTACCTGACAAACAGAAATGAGGAAAATGAAGAATTGACTATCTGGGGTCATTTTCTTGAAACTTGCATATACTTCCCATTTATGCTCATTGGAATAAAGAAGAGCATTTCTGTAACAAATTAAGAACATGCATAACCTGTTATGACATAGTCATAGATGTATAATAATGTGGTCTAGAATTACAGTACTCTCTTGAAGTACATCATATTCAAAATTCACTGGAGATGTCTTAGAGACATCTGTTGTAATTACAGGAACATGGTTTCTAATTCATTTAATTCCCTTTCCTACCTAAACTGTACATATAAGTGAATTTTAAGAGACTGTATAAATAAATTTTTAATTACGAAATCATGTTATACAATACATTATTAATAATAACCAACAATGCATAATGTTTATGCATGAGTCCATTACAAAGACGAGCTAATGTATGTCAATTCAAAAAGAATGCACTAATTTGTCCTGAATTTGTGAATGAAGTTGAACCCATGACGTAAGCCAATGAATGCAGTAACCCAGAGTGGGTTAGCATGCTCTTTTACAGTCAAGAAATACCTTGTACCTATGGCAGTTAAGAGGTATTTAGGATTTGTTCATCCCATGTGATCAAGATCTTATTTTTCAGCGAACCATGCGGTTATGAAATTTGGAATGAGACCATAGAGTTGACAGTATTAGATTTGTCAGGCAGGTGCAGAAGAAAATGGTCTATAGCATCCAAGAAATGTGTACAGTTCTTACATTTCGGCACATAGAAATCACAGCCTTGTTGTCATGGAATTTCCCCTTGGGGCCAGAGGGTCTGGAGGAATGTGGTTAATTGCATTGGGCTAGCGGTAACAGATTTCTGAAATCTCCATGGCTAGCTCCAGACACTCGCTGGTCTCGTGGCAAGGCTCAAACAGGCTGCAGTCCATGTCACAGTTGCAACTGCAATCGTTCCGAGAGTGGCTTTCATCCGAGGTGTGGTGATACCTGTGAGAGGGGCAGCACAGGTTGGTACACACCGTTTCACACGTATCCGGGAGCATCAGGAGACAGTCCCAAAACTGGCAAAACAGACAGGTGAGGATAAGGGAGGCACACTCCTCTGTTTAAAGAAGAAGAAGAAAATGAATAGTGGCCCATACGGGGGCATCTCTGAAGGACAGGCATGTGCAGTAGTGTGCTTGATGAGTTTATAGCCAACTCTTAATTGTCCATATTGGAGGTAATGTACATCATTATTCTCTCAAGCTTCCCCACCCCCCATGCAGGACTCCCTCTGCTTAAGTAATTGCTTTATTAACTTCCTGAGCATTTGTATTGATTCCACATAATCTGGTTGTTTAAAAACGCTGTCACTCTTCTGAACTCCTTTATTTACTTTGCCTGCAGAGGTGCTGGGAAATCACACAATTCACTGCCTATCTGGAAACCTTGCAACTGTCTGAAAACTAACAGGTCCTCCCCAAGTGCAGAGAGCTTTGGGGAGCAATTAGGATTGAGGACAAGGAGAGAGACCGTACAAACTTTTGGCTTCTTATCTCAAGGATTGGTCATTTGTATGGTGTGGTTTCCCAGGAATCCGCCACATCCATATTTCACATGCAAGCAAAAAGCACATTTCAAAACCCAATACAAATGATTTTTAAATAGTTATAGTTTTGATGTTAGTTGTATTTTATTTTTAATCCCTGTGTCCTTTGTGCTCCAGTTAATGTGAGGCCTTGATTTTATGTTCATGTTAAATGAAATGTGTCATCATATGCCTAAAACAGTAGAAATCTTCTCAATGCTCTTTAAGAAAATTGGTTTAAAAATTTACCATGCAGACTCATGAAAATCTGAAAAGTATCTCCAAGGTATTGAAGGTAATTGGTAATTCTAGCCAAACAGCTGTGATGGGTTATAGATTATTATAGTTTTTGTTTCCATAAAGGGAATTAGTTAGAAGATGTAGCAGTTCTCTTGTTAAAATTATAACTATTTTTTTTTAGTCACAAAGGTCTCAAAAACATGTGAACATTTTATAAATGGGTAGGTAAGCGTTTACATGAGACATCATGTAATTAATTGAAGTCAGTATCCTGAAGATTATTGATGGTTGAAAGTAACAATCTGGCATGAATTGGAGAAAAATTCCTCCTCCTGATGGGTTTATCAATCAATTAAAGTTAGATTTTCATCGGGATTTATAATTCTTTATACCAAGAATGTTAATGTTAATAACTTTCGGTTTTCAGCCTTCAGTTGGCTGAGAGTACACAGCCTGCAGGAGTGATTTTGCTCCTGGAGTCCTCCGCTAAAGGGTTCTGAGTATTCTTAGAGCCCTGTTCATTTACTTCCAACAGTGTTTTCCAGAAAACCTTTTTACTTTTGTTATTCAGCTATTTGTTAATCTGTAAGAGGAGGGAGAACATGGAAACTTGCTCTAAAAGGGAAAAAATATTTTGAAGATTTCTTTTAAAATACTTATATAAAAGTCTAAAGTGACCTTGCTTATAGGTAAACAAAAATCTTCCTGCCTCCATCCCGCCCTGCACCCCACCCTCCATCCCTGCCTCACAGCCTCCTTTTTTTTTCTTCCCAATAAGACGGTGGTAAAGAACCTCACTGTGACTTTTATGATGACTTTAATTGCCATATATTGTTGCAGGTGCTGTGGCCATTACTAAGTATTTCTGGGGTAGGCAGCATATCCCATAATACCCCTAGGGCGTATGTACTCATCTCTTTGCCAGACGGGGTACCTTTTTTATTCACTTAGAGCCAGTTTCTAGCATGTGGCTAACTCACCCATGGTGAGTTTTTTTTTTTTTTTTTTTTTTTTTTTTTGTGGGCAATTTTTGTGGGCAATTTTTGTGGGCAAACCACCCACAAAAATTCAGGAGTTACTTAGCACAGTACCTAGACTCCGTTTCATGTATGCGTTTCTGAAGAGGGCGTGTTTGTCATCAAAGCTATGGAGCAGAAAACCTCATCAAATTTTACTAATGCCAGGAAGGCTATGCTCGCAGCCCCTGGCAAAGAAGTTCTCAGTAGAAAATATTCTCCATATCCTTCAGGCTGGAGACTCAAGAGACTGACTCAGGCTATGATCATATAAAAATGATCCAGTGGGATCACATCCTTTGTAGATGGAGATGTGAGGCTGAAAATTTGGTTTGCAGGCAAGTTAGGGTGGGAGCTGGTGTTTCCTATCAAAGTATAAAATAGCTATTTGGTATTGGACTTATACTTTCCTGAGAGCATATAATCTTTTGGTTTAATTCCTCTTCCCAGTGTTTTCTCAAGCTGGCAGATTCTGGAGGTCTCCACTTCTGATGTACCCTCTAGATTTTATTTACACACACACACACACACACACACACACACACACACACACACACAAACACACACACATGTTTGGTCTAGTATTTTGGCCAAACTGGCATTTGTTTTCTTCTACCTCTCTACTTTGCATTTGAGAATAGAAGAGCTCATTTTTTTTTTTTTTTTTCTTTTCTGTGTGTAAGTCAGTCCTTTTTATTTGGTTATAAAAGGCAGAACCTCTTGCCCAAAAAAACATGGCAACATTGGTGAATTGAAAACAGATTTTTCCAAACTTTCAAGAGCATTGAAAACTTTTCCTAAAAGGCATATTACATAGTTCTACATGGCCAGGCAAAGCTGTTTTGCATATGGACAATTTTTGTTTGCACAAAAGTAGCCTAAGAAGTGGGGGGAAATTTGCAGCTGTTTGAAAAGAGAGTTGGGCTTCCCCTATTCCGGAATGGGTGTGTTTTCCTTTGCACTATTTCTTGGGGCTTTCATGTTTAATAAACATGATACCCAAAGCCATAGCGCATGATTAGCACCCCTGCTCTCAGCCCATCCAAAAGAGTACGTTATGCTTCCTCTGCCTACTTTGTGTCTTTTTGGCAAGGTCTTCCTTCAATCATCTCCCATTTACCAAGGCCAAATTGCATCTAGATCTCCCCTCTTGCCCCATTCCACACACCTGTCCTTCTTCTGACCTCCTCCTGTGAATGACTCCTGCACACTCAGATGAAATCAGCAGAAAGTTGGGACTCATTCTTGTCATTTCCCTTTTCCCCATCATACCACCATCCTCCCTCTGGCTCCTTGCTGAGTTCTGCTCGTCCTGTCTCAAGTTGGTATGTGAAAATCAGAAGACTCTACCCACCTCTAGGGCCACCCCCTTAGTTCTGGCCACTCTCTGCCATTGTCAGGTCAACATCACTAGGCTCCTATCTAACACATGGCTTTTACAGGAGCCCAGTTCAAATTCATCAGCTCCTATGATGTTTTTCACTGTAGGTGGGAGGAGCTCACTCTCCCCTTAAAGTCCCACATCCTTGCCATAGCCTGCAAGTCTCATGATAGATTCCTGACTATTTTTCTGGCTTTCCATCCTTCTGTCCTCCTTGCTCACTGAACTGTAGTCACACTGATTCAGCATCAGACCCTGACATGCCCCATCTGAAAGACTTTGACCATGCTCTCTCTTTGGCCCGTGTTATATACTTCCCCCTCACAGCTTGACCTGATTCTTACTCAGCCTCTGAGTCTTTATCTTGAAACATCTTCCTTCTGAAACTCTCAGAGCATTCTGTTTTTTCTTCATGGTACAGACCATTGGAATGATATGAAACTAATTAGTTTATTAATACAAAGATTCTCCCCCTACTAGAACCTGAGTTACAAGAAAGCTATGTCTATTGTTGAGTGGATGAATGAATAAATGAATGATGGGAGATAAGTAAAGTCATCCTCGTTTTGTGGGTGAAAGGACTAACACTTAGGAATTGTCCCTGACTGTCCTGAATCTTTCAACTGTAGGGTGGTTGGGGGTGGGGGCAGAGAGGTTCGGATCTCAGTCCTTCTGGATCCAAAGTCTGTGCTCTCTTAGCCGGTGCTACACTGGAAGCAAATGCACAGTCCTGGGCACTTTGTAGGTACCTCACATAGGTCCTGAAATAAACCTGAGTTGAGTACTATCATGTTCTTTTACAGACCAGGAAACTGTGGCTCAGGGAATTTAAGAAACACAGAAATAGAGGAGCCATGATTTGAGTCAAACTGTCCCCTTCAGAGCTCTGAACCCTGCAGCTGGCCTGCCCTTCAGAAGGCTCCCACTTCTCTGTCACAATCCAACATGGCGTAGGATATGGCCGGCTCATGGAAGGCCTGCTACCCTTTCTCTCCCTGCTCTGCTCTGTATTCCTGAGAAGGCTGACATCCGTTCTCCAAATTCTGTCAAGTGGCCTCCTGCCTGCTTCAGCCAGTGAGAAGCAGTGGCAGGAAAGGCGAAGGTGGGAAGAAGGGAATCCCAGGGGTGTTTCTCCTCCTCGCTCTCTGCTTTGAATGTGTCTCAGTCAGTACCTGTATCTTCCCTTTGATTTTATCTCTTTCTGGACATCCTTCTTTCTGCAGTTCTTGTTAATGCCACTTGCTAGTGGTCTGCCTATTAATGGTTAGTTCCTAGTAGCCCACGAGTGAAGTCCAGGACTAGTCCTCTACTAGTGGCCTGGAGGGAACAAGGGAAGAGGTGGCAGAGCCTTGTTGCTAACGTCTAGGTGGCCTCACTGTTCCCTTACTTGGCTTTTTACCTCTCCTAATATCTTTGTTAGGAGGTCTCTGCATGTTGAAGCCCCTTTAATGACGCCCCTGGCATCCTGGCCTGCTCTCAGAGTGGTGCCCATCCCTCTTTCCCTCCTCTTGCCTTGTTAAACCTGGATCAGAGAAGGTTCCAGGACAAGCCAAGACCTGCAGTCCAAGCAGCCAAAAGTGGTACTTGACTGTGAGCAAGAAGCCATGACAACCCCCCCCCCACCTTAGGTTGTTTCATTTCCTTTGTACACCTCTAGGGTACATTTAGGACATTGAGGCTGTAATGTGCTAAGTGATACTCGAATGATACTGAAGGATGAATGCAGCCTCCAGCCGTGCTAAATGTGCAGCTGGGGATTGGCTAATTAAGAGGGAGAATCTGTCTCATTAGAAAGGATCATGTTTAATTATAGTGGAAAAGGTAGCGATGCAAAGACCTTCCACCAGTGTACCTGAGGTCAGCCTCACGGTCACGGTCCTGAACTCTCTGGGCTTGCCCTCCCAGGCTTTGATCCTGTCACCGTGATGCCTGGGATTAAGAGGAGAGAGGGACAGAGGCAGATCTACCTGTCCACTGGAGTTCTCATAGCTTTCCTCAGTTCCAGAAACCTAGCACCTGCTCCCCAAAATAGCAAGAATATGGTTCCTCCAGAAGTGGCTCCAGAGAAACAAGAATCTCCCCAACCCTCCAGACAAAAACCAAACAAACAAAAAGGCAAATAAACGTGGCCCCAACCCAGTATCCTGATACGTTCATGGTTAACGTGTGCTGTCCCAGCAGATTCAACAGAAGCATGAGATTCGTGACACAGTGACTCCAACGAACTACTCCAAGTTTTTGGTCACAAAGTATAAAAATTGGTTCCCACTTCTTCAACACTACTGAGTTCTTTTTTTTTTTTTTTTTTTTTAAAGTCTGTAATGTAGAATAGGAATAAATAAAGTGTGACTGAATGCCTTTCTCTAGCTGGGGTATCATCCCTGATGTTATCAATTTTAATAGCTACTTAAATATGTCAAGATCTATTTAAGTTCAGACAAGCACAACTAACGTTCAAGTCAGTTCTTTAGAACAAGGCTGACTAGATTTGGGTGATACTTAGTAAATTTGTGCTTATGTTTTTTTCTGAGCAAATGAACTGAAATAATTATAAAATTGAAACATTTTATAAGGTGACACTACTGCATTTAATTGTATGAAATTTACAGTGTAGAAAATGTAATCATTTTATTCAGTAGTCCATGGTGTAATTAAGACTATTCTTTTGAGGTATCTTGTATTTATGATTTTCCTCTTCCACCTGGATGAGACGTCTCAAATTCAAAATTATACATCAATTAGGTATATTCTCAGGCTTCTTTTGAAGGCTCCTGTTTTCGAGCATTGTGTGTATTCCTGCTTTTATTACCCGGAGGGTTGCCTGTACAATCAGAACGGAGCAATAGAAACAGAGACACAGAGAGTGCTCTGGACTTTTTCCATTTTATTCGGGAAAGGGACCACACAGGATGAGCCACAATTTACTAATAAAGTAATGTTGCAGCACATAGTGTGTGATATGCAGTAAAGATCCTTTTAAATTCCCATCAGAGCACACACCATGAACTGTGCTAATGGATGTAACACATTTTACAAAATCTGCATGTGTGAGGCTTTTCCATTCTGTTTTAAGTTGGGCAATGTATATAAATAATAGATATTAGCAATTAAGCATCCATTCCTATGCACTCATTTATACATTTGAAAATAAATTAACCACAAACTACATGAAAGTGGATGCAATCTTCTCTTTTCCCTTCTGTTTCCCCTGCTGTTCCTGAAAGATATTTCTGTATTTATCTCAGTACGAACAATGACCCCAGCTCTCAATTTCTGCATCCTTAAATTAATTACTACAAAAATTCTCTGACTTAACTCTTGAGATCCTTGATGTTTGCTGTTTAAGATAATGAGAGCTTCTTAGACACACTCGTGGGCCTTCGTTTGGATGTTTTGCTCTCTTTTTGATCCAGGTATCCCAAACTCTTAACTCGATGGGGGGATTTTTTTCACCATGTGGGAAGGGGATGGTGGGTTTTTACCTGTGTTGTCAGCCTAAAATCATGATTTCCTGGGTTGTGACAGCCTCTCAGGCAAGGCTTAAGAAAAACAGACTAAGTCAGCTGTCCTTGTGAATCTCCTTTGATCTTTTGAAAACAAAAAACCAAATAACCAAAAAAACTGCCCCAAAAAACCAGTAAGTCATGAATTTCCTGCATGAGACCCTGAGTATCAGTTGCCATCTTAATGGAGTGGTCCTTTGAGCCTTCCCTGAGAATACAGGGGTTCGGGTGTTATGTTAGCTGCACCAGCCCTTCTCCTTCTCCCAGAATCCCTGCTAGGACAAATCAGAGTGGTTCTGGAGGACACTGTGTTGTACTGTGTGGATGTGTGTACCATGACAATTCCTAATTCAGGGGTCATGACAACCAAGATCCGTTACTTGCATCCCTGAGACAATCTGACGAAATGCTCTAGGGTCACAGTGCTTTCTGGTGTCTCAGAGAACTCTCCTGTATTGCCCATTTTCTTGATTGGCATCAAACTCCAGCAAAGCCAGAAATGTGGGCATCATCTTGAATTTGAGGTTGTAACCTGACAGTCCACTGGCCAAAGTTATCCCCAAGCTGTGTGTTGTTGGGAGTGTCTGGGGCTTCATAAAAGAAATCAAAGTATTGCCAACACTCAAAAAATTTGGCGATTTCACATGATACTCTGTAGCTGGCAACTCTGAGCCTCTGTTTCCTTCTGGCAACAATTAGCTGGAGCTGAGTAGCTGCAGTGTGCTTCACTTTGCCCCAGTCCTCACCAATCCCTGTTGCTCACTGCCAGTCTAACTCATTATTCATATCATCTCCTGGCACCTGCAAGCAATTGTTTCTGTAGCCTCTGGTCTAAAGCAGCCATGACGGTGTTTGTTACAAGACCATAAGGAACACATGTTAGAAATTTCTCCCCTTGCTTTTTGAAACCATAACCATAACAAAAGCAAAAATCTAATATCTATTATGTGCCAGGTCCATTATTGGATCCTTTATACACGTTATTTCATTTGGTCTTCAAAACACCCTCGCTCCATCATATAGCTGAAAGACTGAGATTCAGAGATGGTAAAAAACTTATCCAGGTTTATATGGTTAATAAATTTCAGAGCCAGGAATTAAACTGATGTGATTCCACAGCTCCTGTTACACAAAGCCCATTTATTTATTTTTTCCCTTATTTTCAAAAAGTAAATATTAATTTAAATATAGACTAGAAACTATACCCTCTTATATTTTCCTTCGAGAAATTGCAAGCTTTCTTTAAGTGCAAATGAGGATATGGAACGCTACAAAATTCTTGAATGGTTTGTGTCTCCTGTAAAGGGCATTATAAAGTCAACCTGATTTAAATTACATATATCTTGGTGTGGTGTGCATGACTTTGAACCTGACTGCGATGACCATTTAGGACCATATCAATTTGAAACTGGATTTGCAAAAGGAATGTGCCTTTTATAGTCATATGCATGGATAGTTGGATGTAGGTTGGCACTGACCAGAATGCCCAGGAAGTGATATCACCTAGAGGAATGAACGCTGGTTGCTGACGTAAGCATCGTGATATCTTTTATAGTCCACATCTATACATTTCCAGCATTTTAATACCATTCTACTCTGCCTTCTACTCCTCTCAGCCCAGCATCATGGGCTGAAATGGTCTCAGATTTGAGAAAACTTTACCATTCTTCTTTATCCCCTTCCCAGCTCCATAGCAAGCATGATTATACCTCACTGCAGCTATTTAAAACACTTTGCCTCTGATTTCCAGCTTTGAGAACAAACAATCTGCCAAGCAACTCATAATTGCAGAGTGACCTTGACATGTGTCATTCACCAGGGTTTTCAAATCGAAGTCTTCCTGTTTAATATTCATAAAGGCTCTTTTTTTTTTTTTAACAGCATATGTGATGATTTTACGGGGGCTGGGGGTTGGGGAGCTTTATTTAGAGATGGGTTGATTCGGAGAAACATACCATCAGTGTCTCTCTGATGAACTGAAGTATCAGTTTGGAGGTAGGAAAATTTCGTTTGGCATTCTTCAAGGGAGGACAGTGATGTGCTGGATTCTGACAGTTTTTTCTCACTGGGGGTTTCCTTGGCTGGTCCATCTGTGATATTGAATTCAGATACTGAATTTATAATGATAGCATTAATGGGTTTCTCATCTGCATGCTTTTCATTTTTGAGTTGCATATCTAGATGAAAAAAGAAAACACACATACACAAACCCACTATAGTTGACATAACCTAGTGATCTCAGAACGGACATTTGCAGAAAGTTTCACACTCAAGACTTTTGTGAGAATAAGGTCTTAAGAGATTGAAGCATCGTTGAATGGAACCATTTTGAATAAATATTTAAGTTAAGAATAGAAAAGGGCAAGAATCATAAAATTTTACACACAGTATAAGTTTCCCTATCACAGACATTTGTAACACTTATTTCTACTGTTTTTTGTTTGTTTGTTTTTTTAGTGATGGGTGGAGAGAATCAAAGAATTCATTCACTTGGATCAAAAAAAGTTCATAGTTTGTTGTCAGCTTTTGGTCCAAGTGTTTTCTGGATCCCAGAAGCAGTAAAAAGGTCTTAAATGCTGGGTGGACCGTGCTGCTCAATAATGTGTGTGATCACGATCACGTGGTTTTTATTTCTTTGGTTCTACAAACCTCAGTTTCCTCCTCTGTATAAGACAAGTGGTTATAAATGAACCATCTATCAGCTCATACCTGTTTCTACCCTCCGAGACTCTCAGTTGCCATCCCTTCCCCTGCCTTAGCATTTGTTAGGTTCCTATTCAGGTGACTGTTCATATGGCTTTTGAGGGTGTGCTTTTTGGAGTATATTTTATTTCCATATAACCACCTGAAAGGGAACCTTTGGCAAAATCCTTGACCCTTGAGATTCTGGTTGGGAGAGGCATAGAAAAGACCAAGAAGGCCTAGATGCTTCATGTATTTTAGAGCTCCCATATTCATTCATTTATTCATCCATCCATTCATTCATTCTTTCATTCATTCATTCTTCCATAATCATATATGGGTCTGTTATATAAGAAACACTGGGCTGGGCATGGGGGATATAGTGGCACCTAGGACCAGCATGGTCCCCAACTTCCACAAGCATCAAAGGAGTTAGCAAAGAAATAGCTAAATCACAATATTGAAGAGTGTATGACAGAGCAATGGAAGATGAAATCATGTTAGAGTCTGGGTCATAACCAGTCTGGGTCGTAACTTACCTATATACCCATTGCCCAGAATCCTAAGATCAAGAGAAGAGGTAATAGAAGATACTCTCAAACATGCAGACCAGCTGGTTCCTGGGGACACATTAAGCCCTAAACCAACAGCAGTCCGGGTTATTTGGTGACCCTCCTGGGAGATGGTGAAGATGCATTCCGGAGCCTTGCATTCTTGTGGCTAGCCCAATGCATGTTTGATCCAATAATGCTCATGGAGTGACTGGAGTAAATAATACAACTCCCCAACCTGGCTTTTACCATGCTTACAATCGCTCAGTGCAAGGATACATTCTTCCCAGCATCCATTCACCTTTTCCAAAGTTGCTTTGTTTCAGGCAGATGGAAATCTCTACTGGGTCCTGCCTCCTCAGTCAGTGGTTCCCAGAGACTTGTCTAAAGAGTAAAATAACCTGGGAAATCTTTTAAAACTTAAGAATTTTTTCAAGCTCAGGCAAGCCCTCCCACCCCTTGGCAGATTAGCTCACAGCCCCTGGGGGATTTCTGAAGCTCCCTATAAGAACCTTCAAAGGCTCCTGCATGGCATGGGAGCTGTCCGTTCCTTCAGCCCATGCCATTGTCTTGTTTCTCTCTCAGCCTCCAAACAGCCTTGGCTTTCAACCAGGTTTGCTTTTATATTCCCTAGCCCTTATGTTGCTGGCTTTAAATCTCTTGGTTGTGGTTTGATTCATTTTAAACTGGACTGGTAGAAGTTACGGATCATGAAAACATTGATCATTTATTAATAGCAATTAACATAATCATGAATAGATGGAATTAGCTCAACCGATTGGGAAACTCTAGACTTCCTCTAACCCCAGAGAGAGTCAGCAAATTAATGTTGTAATGATGATATCAAAATAATAGTTTATTTTGGGGGGATATCAAAGTGCTGGGCAATCAGCTAATATTACAGATAGTTGTTCATTATGCTGTATTGATGTTTGGAGACAGATCATTCTTTGCCATGGGGAGATCGTAGGATGTCTAACAGCATCTCGTGTTCTGTACCTACGAGATGCCAGTAGTACCTGTTATCCTAGGCTGTGGCAAACAAAACCGTGCGCAGATATTGCCAAATTTCCCCTCCGGGGCAAAGTCACCTAGGTGGAAATCCAAACCACTGCTTTATACACACACCCACATACTCCATGGCATGCCTTTCCTATCAGCTCCGGAGATGGCTAGCACTTAGAAATCTTATTTACCCGAAGCATCACAAACACTCCTGGAGGCTGATATTGTCAACGTCCCTGAACAGAGGGGAGTGGCTGGTGTCCCCTGTTCACAGATGAGGAAGTGTAACTAAAGCTTAGATAGTTTATTTAGATAAGTTGTCCCAGTAGTCCTCATTAGCAAATGACAGGACTAAGATTTGCATCCAGGCCCCATTGTATTCCCAAAGCTCAGCTCTCATCCTTGTCTGTGTGGCATGCAGCATCATCTCTGATTTGTTCTTAGCTTTTATCTCTGCTTCCTAGCTGCAGAGACTGCCCATCGGCAAACCCCTCTGAGCCCGAAATCCCGTACACCATGCATCACCCACCCAAAATCTAGCCTTGCAGGTTACTTAGCGTTCCCGTTGCCTCTCTCCCTGAGCTCTAGAAAGCAAGACTACCTTCTTGCATGCTCAGGGAATTCTGCATCTTTGGTTACAGCTGCTGTACACTGTACATTAAAGAGCATCTCGGAAAGAGCTGGTAGATAACGAAACCTTGATGAGTATAGACATTGCGGCAGCTGTTTGCTTACGGAATTAATTAACAATCAGTTCAAATTATCACACGTAGTCAGGCTGCATGTAATTTAAATTGCTTTTGCACAAAGTAATTCAGGAACAAAAAAAATGTTGGATAGAGGTTACTGGAATGTAAGAACATGCGGAGAATACTGTATACAGCCAAGTGGTATATGATTCTCTTTTTAATTTTGCGACAATTTTAAGTATAGCATTTTGAATCTAAGTGGTGTGCTACATTAAGCAACCATTTGGAGCCACTGGGTTTGTACTGAGAGAATTTTGTGGCAAAGTTAAACTGCCATTCATAAAGTTATTTTAATTCTCTATCTCTGTTTATATTTTTATTTTATTTTTTCATTCCCCAGCAGGAACTATCTGTTGCTCATTAGAAAATCATCTGACATACACACATTTCAGACCCCAGTCTGTTCAACCCAGAATTCTGACATCTGAAGTGAGTCACAATTTTTGGGTGAATGTTACTGACATCTTCCATCTTTTATAGATGGAAAGCTAACAATAAATTTCCCCGGATTCCTCTCTTGCCGTGTTATTTGACATTGTATCCCAAGTATTATAAAGTAGCATAGGCTAAAAGGAGAAACATATAAAAAGTGGTATCACATCTCCTGCAGAAAAAAAAAACGATTTTGGAATTAAATAAGGAACTCGTGAAACTATATTTGGGATGTTATACATAGTTCTTGACATTAACTTAGAGAAAATAATTTTTTAACAGAAAAAAAAAACACCCAAATTAGGACAAAAATTAGAAGCTCAACTCTATTTCTAAGGGAAAAAAATTTAAGTGTATCTTAAGTCAGTGAAATAGAAAATTCATGTTTGGGCTAGAAGTAATTGCAGAACCAATGGGCATAAACTTAAGTAACAGAAAAGACAGGCAGTTAATTAATTTTTTATTGCCATTGAGCAAATGTTATTAATTTAATTCAATTAACATTTATTGAGTGCCCACATGCAATGGATGAATCAATATGACAGGAGCTATTAATTTATTTACTTTATGTTATTAAGGAAACATTTTAACGATTTTCATTTTTGCTCACTAAATGTGACTTTATAATTTTTGCATCCATGCATTCTCTATTTGAGTGCATATATAAATATATATATTTATACATATGCATTCTAATTGTGAATAAGTAGCATCTCTTCTTCCCAGGCTCCTCTCCTCCCATGCTATTCTTGCTTTTCTCTCCTCCCCCTCCCTTCCCTTCCCTTCCCTTCCCTTTCTTTCCCTTCCCTTTTCTTCCCTTTTCTTCCCTTCCTTTCCTCTCTCTCTCAGTTTAATTCCCCCACCTGCACTGTCTCTGTTTTTGGTTTCTTTTTTTCCTTCCAGTTCCTTCAACATGTTTATTCCTTTATTCCTCTCTCTGTCCTCTTAGTTCCTCTCTTTGTGCCCTACCCTCCAAGGTCATATTTGTCCACACTCCCAATTTAATTATTTTTCTTTGTGAAGCTGGTTCCCGAAACTATGCAGTTCATCAGCCAGCTGGGCCACGTTTACTGAGGGTTAGACTATGTGTCTGACCCCGTACTGGGTTCTGGGAGATTCAGAGAAGAAGAGCAGAGAGTCTCGGTCTTCAAGAGGCCCATAGTCAGCACAAACTATAGTCACACCCTTGTAACTGACTATTGGACATTTTACTGGCATTATCAGCTAATCTTTACAATTAGTATATCTCTTTCTACTAAGGCCTTATTCTTCTCCCCGAACTGGGTGACTCTGGATATCCCTGGAGAACTGACAATTCAATTTCTTTTCACTGTATTGTCATTTTTAACAAATTCCCAGTGCTTCAAAATATTCTTTGAATGGCCTCATCTTTCATCCCAGTATTTACCAGTTCTTTTTCATTTTTTCTCTTAAATATCCTACAAATGTATCTTAGATTTCTCATTCCCATCACTACCACTCAAGATGAATCCTCTTGGTTCTTCAATCTGTATTATTTCTGTCACCATTGGTCTCAGCTATGGTGACAACCCTCCCCAAGACATCGTGTACACTATAATTGAAACGATATTTTCAGTAATATTCTTCTTATCATATTACTCATTAAAAAATCAAAACAAAACACACACACACATATGCACACACCAAATGTTAATAGCTCATTATTACCAGACTATTTTCCCATTCTCTTGTTCTGAATTAATCTATGTATTCTATTGAATCCATGGATTTAATAGA